CAGAGCCGCTCAGGTGCCTGGGCAGGGCGGTTTCCCCTCCTGCCGGCCATTCCTTCAGCCGCCCGCCTGGCCCCTTCTCCTGTCACAGAGCAGATTCCGCATCGCATGCAGGGCCGGGCGTTCCCTCCGCTAAACGCGCGTGACATTTCAGCCTCCTTCCCTCCCTCCCACGCTTGTGCAGGGGAGCTAGACTGCCGGGTGCTGAGGCAGGGCTCTTTTCTGGGTTAGTGAAATCTCCACGCTGAGGGCGCCTCCGGGCTGCGCGCGAGCAGAGTCGCTAGCTGGCTGGCAGAGGGACTTAATCCAGTGGCACCTCTGACAGGCCCCTCGGCTCTGAGCGTGGGAGGCTGGAGGCGATTCCTCCCCGCTCGCTCTGCATTGCCTGCCTGCCTTTTATCTGCCCTCCGGCCTTTGCCTGCCGTGGGGCTAGGCTGGCTGCTGACACCCCGGGGCCGGTCCAGCCCGGGGGGGCGGGCGCACGCAGCAGCCCCTTCCCAGGCCAGTGGCCGCTCGCCGGCTTGGCGGAGATGGAATCTCGCCGTGCAGATAAGTCAGGGCCTGTGCGTTACTGTCCGGGGGATGACATCACCGCCAGCCAATCAGCAAGCGGCAGTTGTGCCCCCGAGTTCCCGAGCCGTTTCTCAAGTCAGATTTGATGCGTCTGCGGTTGGACTGGAGGGAGGCGCCAGGCTCTGCGGGCTCGGGGGGGGGGGCAGATCCTGCGACTGAGAATCCTGCGGGAGGGGGCTGTTGAGAACTGCGGAGGCAGGACAGATGAACAGACTCCCCTGGGGGGGGTAGGTCATTCAAACAGACTGGGCCTGTGTGTGAAGGGAGACCCCGCTGCCCCCAAGCCAGCCCCACCCCTCCCTTTCCTCCGAGTGGGGGGGACACGCAATCTAGAATGGCTAGAAAGCGCCCCCCAGCCCGCAGGGTGGGGGAGTGTTACCCAGTGGCTGGAGCCAGACTCTAGGGTTCCCCTCCCACTGGTCACTAACTCGGGGTGATGTCGGGGCGGCCTGTTCCCTGTCTGTGTCCGTTCTCTGCGGGGAGCGGGGATACTAGTGCGCCGGGGGAGAAGGGCCGAGAGGGGAACTTGGGGTAGATCCAGTGTGGAGAGAGAACCTGCCCCCCTAACAGGAGTGTGGATGTGGCAGAGCCCCCCAGCTCTTTGCATGGCAAATCCCTGTGCCCCAGGGGCGGTGGGGAGCCTGCCCTGTTCACCGCGTGTGCCCCCCGGGTGGCATGGCAGAAGGCCACAGGGCTCTGCTCCTCGCCCGCTTGGGAAACACCCCGCCCCGGGGCAGGGCTCCAGCTGGTGCTGCCACGCTTGAGCAGAGGCCGTGCCGGTGCGGAGTGTATAAAGGCTTGGGACGGGCGCGTAGCTCATGACAAGTCCCCCTCCCTCCAGCGAGTGCCCACGAAGCCTTCCTGCTCCCCACACAGCACAGCGCAGGGCCGGGGCCCACAGTCCCCTTGCAGCGACCCGGCAGCAAAGAAAACGGTGCAGATCTAAGGGCCATGGCTCCAGTCCACTGTTTGTGACCCCACCGGAAAGAGGCTCCCCTTTCTAGCTCTGTCCTGCCCCTGTCTACCCCTCGCGGACTGTCCTAAACTGCCTGGTCTCCCCCTTGGGAGCCTGGAGTCTCTGTCTTTGGTGGCCCCAAAGGGAAAGGGGGAGCCGGGGCTGAGTGGCTGGGTTGGCCTGGGGTGGTGGGCAGCGTGCTGGAGGGGCGTGACGGCACGTAGGCCGGAGGCAAGGGAGTTTGGAGCAATCGTGTAATTGTATTTCCGTGTCTGAGCGGGGTGCTCTGGCCGCAGCAGAACCTCCCTCGGCGGGGAGCTGCCAGCCTGCTGGGACACTTGGGTTAAAGCCTGGCCAGGGACATTCTGTTGGGCAGCCCACGCTGGGCCCCGGCCTGCTCCCTGCTCGCCTGCCTCGCGCTGTGACTCGGGGCTGGCCCTGGCCTCCGGGCCGGGTCTCGCTGCTGGACTGATGGGGCTTTGGCCGGCCTCTGCCCCCAGATCAGCCTGAGCAAGGTGGGGGAGTACTGGTGGAGCGCCATCCTGGAGGGCGAGGAGCAGATCGACATCGATAAGATCAACAAGGAGCGCTCCATGGCCACGGTGGACGAAGAGGAGCACGCCGTGCTGGACAGGCTGACCTTCGACTACCACCAGAAACTGCAGGGCAAGCCCCAGAGCCACGAGCGGGTAGGAGCTGGCGGGCAGCTGGGGAAGTGGGGTGTGAGCTCAGAGCCAGCACCCCGTACGCCCTCCCGCACCCAAAATGCCCTCCCCCACCTCATCCCCCCAG